GACAGTAAGGTGCTAGGTGGGTGAAGGGGTTGGGTGCTAGCTGGATGAAGAGTTAGGGTGCTAGGTGGGTGAAGGCGTTGGATGCTAGCTGGATGAAGAGTTAGGGTGCTAGGTGGGTGAAGGCGTTGGATGCTAGCTGGATGAAGAGTTAGTGTGCTCGGTGGGTGAAGGGGTTGGATGCTAGCTAGATGAACAGTAGGGTGCTAGGTGGGTGAAGGGGTTGGGTGTCAAGTGGGTGGAGGGATTGGGGAGCCAGACAGGTACCAAGTGGGTTGGGAAGATGGTCATTGGTGAGTCAGAGAGTCAAGTCAGTTTATCATAGAGGTAGGGCAGGTTTTAAGTCATCTAATTTTTTTCCTGGGTAAACATTACTTCATCAGTCAGAATCCTCCACAATCTCCAACTAACTCAGAGTTGGGTACTCTTTTGGAGGCTACAATCTCCAGTGCAATTCCCACTCTCCAGTCTACACAGCTACAATGACTACCCATCAGAAGGTCTGGCTCCTCTTAAAACTTCTCCCCCATTAGATACTTTGTTAATAATGATTCAGACTGATTTCAGGAGATGACTAAGAACCTTGTGGAAGTTCACGGCAAAAACAGAATACATTTGCCTAACGTTGTAATATATCGGGTACTGTTAGCCAAAGGTGACAGGTTTTAAATTCAATCATTCCTCCTTCTGACCAGCTGTGGCAATTACCTGAGCACATTTAAATGCAGCATTTGGAAAGAAAACTGATACGCAGCTTCTGGGACACTGTTAGGAAGCTGAAGTTTCCTTTGTTTTTGTTTTAGAACGGTGATTGGTTTAATTATACAGTATGATCAGAAGAGATATTTTCCTAATCTACTTGATTGGACGTGTTATAACACACCTCTGAAGCAGGTGGGACTTGAACCCAGCCCTCCTAGTTCAGAGGTGAGGTCACTACCACTGCACTACAAGAGCTGCCATATGACGGGAAGACTTGACGCTCATTTACTTTGATCACCGGCTGTCGGGCAGGGAGGCTTTCATTGAGGGAGAAACGATGCAGTGTAGTCAACGAGGACATTAACTGGCACTACATGTTAAAGGTACAGAAAAATCATTTTTACCAAAGTGGTGGAAAAAGTTCGAGCAGAAAACGT